TATGATAGAATTCTTCATTAAGGTGGAAAGTGAAATAGTCACATCTAAAACGATGGCCTAGATCTAAATAAATAAACTATGAGGATATGAGGTGTGCATTACCAAGGATGGATTGGGGAACCTTACTAAAGGGGTTGATGGTGGATAGGCAATGGCTCATATTTAAAGAACACGTGCATGAAATACAACAATTGTTCGTTTCTTTCTGGTGCAAAAATAAAAAGGAAAAGTGGCTCAACCGTGGCTCACAAGGGAAGTTAGTGATAGCATTAGATCCAAAGAAGAGATATACAAAATTGTCAGAAACAAGAAACATGTCTAAGGATTGGGCGAGAGTTTTAGAATTCAGTACAAGAGGACTAAAGTTTTGCTCAAGCGTGGGAAAACAGTATGAGAATAAAATTATAGAGATCATAAAAGCTGCTATAAACATGTGAAGAGGAAAGAATTAGTAAATACAAGTGTTGTTCCCTTACAGTCAGAACCTAGGAATATTAAAATGACAGTCAAATAAATGGTAGAAGAATTGAATTCATACTTTGGTTCTGTCTTCACAAAAGGGAACACAAAAAACTGCCCAGAAATATTAGGGAATCAAGGGTCTAGTGAGAGTGTGGAATTGAAAGAAATCAGTATCAGGAAGAAAATGGTGCCAGGGAAATGAATGCAGTTAAAGATTGACAAATTACCATGCCTTGATAATCTATATCCCAGTGTAGTAAAAGAAGTAGGTTGGGAAATATTGGTGGTCATCTTCCAAAAAATGATAGACTCTGTACAGTTCCTTCAGAGTAGAGGGTGGTAAATGTAATCCCACTATTTAAAAAGCAATAAAAAACAGAATTAAAACCCATTTAGCCTAACATCAGCAGTGGGGAAAATACTAGAGTCTATTATAAAAGATATTTTAACAAGAACACTTGGAAAACATTAACCTAATTGGACAAAGTTAGCATGGGTTTATGAGAGGCAAATCATACTTACCAAATCCACTAGAGTTTTTTTTTTGTGGATGTTACTAATAGAATTGGTAATGACTAAGTGGGTATTGTATTTTAAGAAGGTTTTTGCTAAGGTCCCATTTAAAAAGTGAGTGAGAAAATAAAAGCACATGGGATAGGAGGTGATGTACTGGTGCGAATTTGAGAATTGGCCAACAAACAGGAAACAAAGAGTAGGAATAACTGGGTCTTTTTCTGGCTGGCAGCCAATGATGATTGTGCCTTACAAGGGTCAGTGCTTGGGCCCCAGCTATTCACAATATGCATAAATGACCTGGATGAAGGAATCGAATGCAACATTTCTGAGTTTGCTGGTGACACCGAACTGGAGGAGAAGGATGCAAGGAGGTTTCAGTGTGATTTAGGCAAGTTGAATGAGTGAGTAAGCACATGGCAGATGCAGCACAATGTGGCTAAATGTGAAGTTGCACACTTTGGTGTGAAAGACAGAACAACAGGGTATTATTTAAATGGTGATATCTCAGAAAGCCTGGGTGTACAAAGGAATCTGGGTGTCCTTTGCACACCAGTCAATGGAAGTAGACAGGCTGGTGCAGCAAGTCATTAGGAAAGGAAGTGGTATATTGGCCTTCATTGTAAGAGGATTTGAGTTCAGAAGTAGGCATGTCCTACTGCAGTTATGAAGGGCCTTGGGGAGACCACACCTGGAGTACTGCTTACAGGTTTAGTCACTGTACTTGCGAAAGGATATACTTGCCGTAGCGGGAGTGCACAGAAAGTTCACTAGGCTGATACTGGGAATGGCAGGACTGTCCTATGAGATGAGATTGGTTCACTGGAGTTTAGTCAGATGAGAGGGATCCTGATCAAAATATGTAAAATTCTCACAGGGCTATACAGATGAGATGCAGGGAGGATATTTCTCCTGGTTGGGAAGTCTCAGGATATGGGATAGACCAGAAGAATTGAGGAAGCATCCCTTTACGCAAAGGGGGTGCAAACCTGTAAAATTCTCGACCACAGAAGGCTGTGGAGACCAAATCACTAAATGTATTGAAGAGTAAGATGGATATATTTTTAAATATTATTAAAGGCATTGAGAGGTATACGGAGAAATTAGAAATATATCACTGAGGTAGAGGATCAGCTATGATCATATTGAATGACAGAGCTGGATCAAATGACCAGTTTCCTGCTCCCAGTTTCTTGTTTCTAAGTGAAATGAGGGGAGCCCTCCTTTCTGCCATATTCCATCATAGTGGTAATTTAGGCTGGTGAAACAAGGGTCACATAGTATCCAAGAGTTCAATTGACTTTAATACAGCTCCTGGCATTTTCATATGTACAATGCAGTCTTAGGCACTGGGCTCAAGGTAAGCAATTCAAGTGTATAGTAGTATACTTCGCCAGTATGTCATGTTGGACAACAATTCAGTAAGATGGAGACAAGGGCGTTATTCCATTTGCTTACATGGTATGAATGGATAATAACATCCATGAGCGTTTCCATTTAAAGTATACCACAGATTCCATGTGAGACATAACTCACTAGTCTAGGACCACTGCTATTATTCTGTGAAGAGTGTTTGCATTGTGGCATTCACTGAAGCACTTTAAATCCATTCAATTTCACTGTGTAAATTTGAGTGAAGTATTCTTTCATTGTAACAACAGTTTTCTAGAACACAGTTATAAAGTGGCATTGTTTTCCTTTATTCTTTATTCATTCATGGGTTGAGGGCGTTGCTGGCTAGGCAGCATTTATTGCCCATCCCTAATTGCCCTGAGGGAAGTTAAGAGTCAACCACATTGCTGTCGGTCTGGAGTCTCATGTAGGCCAGGTAAGGATGGCAGTTTCCTTCCCTAAAGGACATTAGTGAACCAGATGGGTTTTTCCCGACAATCAACAATGGATTCACGGTCATCATTAGGCTCTTAATTCCAGATATTTTATTTTATTTTATTCAAATTCCACCACCTGCCATGGCTGGATTTGAACCCAGATCCCCAGAACATTATCTGGGTCTCTGGATTTACAAACCAGCGATAATCCCACTACACCATCGCCTCCCCTTGTTCCTTCAATATTGCAGCTGCATATTATTTCCTTTAGGACCAGCATTAATTGCTGCCTGACAATTTCATCACGTGCTGTATGTCCTGCTTTTTAGAAATCTATTGACAAATCTAAAGAAGCTGCTATCACAAAAGGGACTCCAAACTGGAAATGCAAATCTTCCATGGTGTAATTCTTTAACAAAAATGTTTCATAAAATTCATAGTGAAGATAAATAAATCAGCATTTAATATCTAATATGATAAATGTTACGATCTGTCCCTCCATGTTTACCTTAGTTTTACTGCGAACTAAGCAAATATATTGTAAATGAGGAAAGTACTTGGAAGATAAATTTTAATGTCCGTCTAAACAACAGCAAATGCATTTCAGAGTCTTGGCTAGATGTGAATCTTGTGGTGTGTGAACATTAGGAATAGGAGTAGGCCATTCAACCCCTTGAATCTATATCACTTAATTATTCAATTCAATAATTGCTGATTTTCCCTCAAAACTGCATGGGTGGCCGACTGTGCAACAATCTACACGTTACTATGCAGAGAATAACAGGAACAATCAATGTTGTCTTAAGATGCAGATATGCATCACTGCTCAGCAATCTTACAGAGATGGTACATAAACAATCTGCATATACCAGAGAGAAATTAAACAGCACAATGATCATGGTTGATCTCACCTTAACTTTTTATTTCCTCATCTTTACTGCTAGCCATTGATGTTATGACTGAAATATATCTGCCTTGAAAGCTGCAATTGTCCCAACAATCAGAAAATTTAAGGGAGAAAAGTTTTAAATGCAAGTTCTTTCTGCCAGTTGAGTTTTAATTTATTGATGCTTTAAGTCTGCGAGTATTTAAAGTTCAATGCTTTAGACCTCAAGGACCAATGACTTTTTTGCAGTTTTTGTTTGGTTTGCTCAACCCTGACTATTTCTTTGCTTGCACATTTGTTTGCATAACCTACCTTCGATGTCTTCAGTCTTTGGAGTCCCTTCACAACTCCTTACTGTAAACAGAACACAGTAAGTTGGTATTTATATGTGCCTGCACTTTGAATTCTACAGACTGTGCTGGTGGACTCTGAACATACTTTATTGCTTGCACTTTTCAAGGTGACTTATGCTATCAGTAATGATTGTACCCAGTTCAAACTATTGCACTGGGTTATTCTCTGGTTTATTCTGTATATGACAGTTATTTGCCTGACCCATTGCATCATTGTATGGGCTGATATTTTAACATCTTGTTTATGGTCATTTTTATCTCGGTAAAATGTGTTGATGTTTATCTCTCCAGTTTGATTGTATTTTGCATGGCCATAGTTGATTTCTATTGTACTGAGATTCTACATTAAATTAGGCACATTAGTCAAGATGAAAGCAATTAAATCACCATTAGGAAGTGCATTTAAATCAATGAAGAGCTACAGATGGTTGCATTGACATTTTCAAGCTTTATTCCCAGACTATTGTACAAACATTTGAATATATATCTTAGGAACAGAAATAAAACATTCAACCCCTTGAGCTTGATCTGCCATTTAATAAGATCACGACTGATCTGATTGTGAACTGAACTCCACATTCCTGTCTGCCCCGATCAACTTTGACTCCCATCTTAGTGAAGAACCTCTTCACCCCGGCTTAAAAATATTCACTTATTCTGCCCCCACCAATCCCTGAGGAAAAGAATTTCAAAACCTGAGAGAGAAAAAATGTTCTCATCTCCATTGTAAATGGAAGACTCTTATTTTCAAAATATTGCCTCATTCTAGTTTCTCCCAACTATGTTGAAACCAGCACAATGTTAACTGTAAGAAACCTCTCATAAATGCCATTTACTGTCCTTCCTATTTGGATGGAGTTTGCAAACTTCTTTACGGCAAGACGTGTTCAATTCTTTTTGTGACTGTTGTTCTGTTCAGTAGAATTCCTGCTGATAACTTTTAATTTCTTTGACTTTAGGTCCAAAGAACTGATTAAGGAAGCGATCCTGGATAATGACTTCATGAAAAATCTGGAGTTGTCTCAGATTCAAGAAATTGTAGACTGCATGTACCCAGTAGAATATGGCAAGGACAGCTGTATTATCAAAGAGGGTGATGTGGGATCTCTGGTTTATGTAATGGAAGGTAAATGATTTGAATTTTTATTATTGCAACAACAGATCTAAAGGAATCTGCACTAATACTTCTTGCCTCACGATTGCATATTGTTATTTCTTAAATCTTTTACAATAAAAGTTAGCTGTTGAGTGGTTATATTAGGAATGGGTTCCCTTAGCAGAGTAAAAGGAAGAAATAATTCTGCAACATGTATGTGCTGTTTCTAGTGTTTTGTTATTATAAATGAGGGCAGCATTAACCATTACCAGTTAGGAAGCAAACTGGTTGAGCAGATCATCCACATGCTGTGAGATTTTCTTTTCATTTATTTATTGAAATTATTGCAGCTCCATTTTAGTGAGTCACAGTAATTTACGTGGTTTGATTAAATAGAATTGCAGAGAAAGATGATTTTCCGAAATGGTTACGCTGTTGCTTGTAATAAGCACAAGCTTCCTTCATCTACCTCTATCCGCATAACTTCCTATTCCCTCCAGTCATGTTTATCCAGCTTTCCCCTAAATGCATCTTTACCATTCACCTCAGTTACTCTGTGATCCCAGAATTCCATATGAGTCTAAAATTCAATTACTATTTTTGATGCTAATCATAGGCCAGTGTCTGCCCTGCAGTGCTTTGCAATAATTTCCTGGCAAGGGAGCTCCTGGAAATATTAACATTAGCAGCCTCTACTTGTCCTGACTTTTGAAGAATGGTGTCAGCCATGCAAAAGTGTTTTCAATGTAAAGTATGTGCTACCAATTCAATAGACACAATAGAAACAAGAAATTTACAATTTGGGGTGGCATGTGGACTCCGTGGTTAGCACTGCTGCCTGACAGTGCCAGGGTCCCTGATTCAATTCCAGCCTTGAGCGACTATGCGCGTGTGTGTGTGGAGTTTGCATGTTCTTCCCATGTCTGCGTGGGTTTCCACTGGGTACTCTGGTTTCCTTCCACAATCCAAAGATGTGCAGGTTAGGTGGATTGGCCATGCTAAATTGCCCATAGTGTCCAGGGATGTGCAAGCTACATAGATTAGCCACAGGAAGTGCAGGGTCACAGGGATAGGGTAAGGAGGTAAGTCTGGGTGGGATGCTCTTAAGATGGTTGATGTGGACTTGATGGGCCAAATGGCCCGCTTCCACACTGTAGGAATTCTATGATTATGTGTGTCTAACACCTACACAACAGGCAAGTCAGTTGCTTATAACTTCAGCTATACTGTCAGCTGCACCTTACCATGAGCTGATAATGAAGGAGTTGTAAATGCAGATGTTTAGACGTTGGCTTACTGAGGGGCTAATTTTATGAGAACATTGTAGACAATTGCACTGTTTTCAATGAACTATCGATTTTTTTTTCAATGTTGTCTTAATGTTTGGGATTAATCAGATTAAGGAAGAAGTAGAATTTTAGCATCACAAAGGTTTCATATCTCCTGCTTGAAATTGGATCACAATGATTATCCAGCATTTTTACACCAAACATTTTCTTGTAAGGACTATGCTGTGAGTTATAAATGGCCTACGATTAGCATCAGAAATAGTAATTGAATTCTAGACCCATATGGAATTGTGGGAATATGGAACCCATATGGAATTTAAGGGAAAGCTAAATAAACATGACTGGAGGGAATAGGAAGTTATGCAGATAGATGTAGATGAAGGAATCTTGTGCTGATTATAAACAACAGCAATTTAATGTAATGCTAAAGTAAAATTTGATCAAACTTCACCATTTGGAAGGAAATATCCAATGTAAAAAAATGATTCTGGTACACCGTGACATTCCGTATATTAACTTGTTTGACAGCCTTGTGCCTTTTTAAAGGTTACCCATTCAGTCCAAATCGAAGCTTAATTGTTCTGTTTTCCCATGCAAGTTGTTTTAGATTTGTAAATAAACATTCCCTCATCGCTATCCATGAGTGAACATGATTGAAAAGGCTGAAGAATGTTTTCTGGTAGGACATATAAACAAGTGTTGAGACAGCGGTCTAGTTTCTCCTCAATAAATTTGCAGCTTTTGGTATCATTTCAGATTTTGGATAGCACTGTCCTCCAGATTGTATGCGAGGATAGTTTAATTTGCAGCTCTATTAGACTCTAGTCTTTGAGGAGTGATTAACTTAGTGTCTGTATGATAACAATCATAAACTCATTTATAAAGAGTGGGTCTAAGATTTCATCTTGCATGAAAGTTTTCGTTCTCAATACTGTCAATGCTTCTGATCTCTCTATTCATAATGTTACTGGTACCTGAAATTAGCCTGCCAGATTTGATGCCAGTGCTGGGGTACATCTGCTCTGGACCTTTGTTGCTGATGTCTACCACATGTCATGGAAAGCTGCCAATTATTAATTGGAACCTGCAGAATCAGCAGAAAGGGATAGCTGAGGCACCTGTAATTCTAATAATGTTGTACAAAGGAGGATTGTTTTAACCAATAAACAGAACAGTGATCCACACATCTGTTCTTTGCTCAGTCAATATGCCTGTTCTCATCAGGTGTAGCCGTGTCAACAATGTACTGGGTCCGATTGAAGGTGTGGGAAGTAATTATTACTGAGAGCCATTGCCTTGCAAGAGTGGTTAGAGGCTTTAACTTCACAAGATCATCCTGTACTTGTGATGTCAAGTCTGAACCCAGCATATTTGGGTACTGGCCAATTTTCCCTTCATTCCATTAAAGTGATGATAAAGGCATGTTTGAATGCCCTTGTCCTTTTAGCCCCGCTTGTTCCACAACACACACTACAGGAAAGTAATTCTATTGAAATGTTGGTCTAGAATGGTGCTGACGTTTCAAATACTAATTGTGTGCCATGATGTACTGATTATTTAACCCAACAAGTAGGACCTGGATGTTGAACATAACTGCTGGAAGTCTTAAATTCTAATCAAATTCCTATCCTAATTTCAACTTCATAGTGTCGCTTAAAGAGGTATGTTTTAAACTGTAGCTTATGCATTTTTGTAAATTTGCATGACGTTTGCATCATATTGAAAAATGCATGTTTTGCAAGTGAATGTATCAACGCACATTAAACTGGCATTGCACAGATTTATTTCAGGAGAGTAAATAAATCCAACATACTATTGCCACAGTGTCTTGGTATGTGAGCTTACACTGACATTGTCCCAGAGCCAAGACATTTCAAATCTCCTTCATGCTTTCAAAGAACAGACTGGGTGAAGTCTGGATGCTAGATCAGAAAGAAGGTAATTAGCTACCAAAATCATTACCAAGTGTTTTCTGAGGACTTCTTTGCATTGGAGTGGGTCACGTTCTGTGAACTGATCATACTACCATTCTCCTCACCTGCGTAATAAAAAGCGCAACTGTTAGAAACATGAAGGATCCACTTTCTCACCCACGCCCCTCGCCTGAGGGACAGTGGCCTTCAGATGAAATCACCACTAGTCATCTTTCTGTCTCATGAGAGAGCAGCACTGTGGTGCTTTGGGACAGCAGCAACTTTATTAGAAAATGTAACAGGAAAAAAAAAGTCTTAAAAGCCTGGAATGAACAAATACAAGAAGAACACAAATATGAATCCACACGTTCAGACATTATCAGCACAATCAGAAGATGGCACAAACTTTTGAAATTAGAAACGGCACTTTTTAGATCTGAATCTTGCCATCTCAATGATATATTAGCACTGAACAGTCCCATGGATATAAGTGGTGCTATTTACTGGAAAGCTGCATCTGTGCATTTGAGGTGCTTGAATGGATGTTCAAGATCATTTGTCAGGATGATTCACAGCTTGTGGGTCAACGTGTTTCTATCATACAGTGAAACAAAGTACACAAAAGTTGATTCCATTTGAATGGGGTTAGACTTTGCTCCAAGCTGAGCAGGAAATTGTTGCTGAGAGACGTGTGGTTCCATCCTCTGTGCTCTGTGGACTGAAAGTTGTATTCCACGATAATCTATCACTTCCTCAATCAGTATAAGCTGGGGTACTGAACCTGATTCTATGAGGAATGCAGGAGGACCATGCCAGGTGCAGCACCAGGCATACCTGGAAATGAGATGTCTGTCTGAGGAATCATAAAACAAGAATACCATGCCAACAACAGAAGCAACTTGCTGTAAAAGGCTAAGCAATCCTCCAAGCAACTGGTCAGATAAAAGCTCTGCAATCCTGCCGCATCCAGTTGTAAAATGGCATTGGCAACGAAACCATGAATTGGAGGAGGAAGCTGTACAAAGCATCCAATGCCAATGGTGGAGGAACATCAATGCACAAAACAAGGCTGAACTGCTCACCACCATCTTCACCAAGAAGTGCCAAGTGAATGAGTTATCTTGGCCTCCTTCCAGTTCTGAATGTCAGGTCTTGTGTTTTGTTTTCATTTTAGTATGCAGTGGGAATCTTGCTGGCAAGACTGAGGATGGAATTGATGTTGAGAAGTCGATGGTTATGGCAGGCCACAATATTGATTTAGGGTTTACCCGGAAGGAACATGGGTTTCTGACGAGGAGGGAGACTGGCAGGTGCCAGTGTTCCCTTGTGCCAGGGTTATATCCCAAACAATCCAAATGCAGTATTCTGTGCCATGTTTCAGCTTTTTAAAAGGCATCTTAAATTCTGGATTTTTTCAAACAGTATAATGAGGACAGTTGTTGGAGGCACTTGCTATCCAGGCCAAATTCCTAGGAAGCTCTAATGTTTCTAGCTGTCACGGAGAAAGGAGCAAAAATAAATGTAGAGAACATTAACCAGGGGAACTGAATAACAGCAGCTGCAGTGACACTGGAAAAAGAATGAGTAATGACAATGACCTTGAAGTAGAACAGTTACAATGGCAAAAAAGAATAAGATGTGATTCATGTAAAACTCAAGTTCTGAGTCTTAGAGATACAAATCCCTTCACTGATACATGGTGACGTGCTCCCTTACTGTTTTAGGGACATTTCAGGATTGATTGGGAACAGTGTTTATTTCTGTTGCTAATTCATTCTCAGGATTTGGCATCACTGGCTATGCCACTACAGTTCTTCATTGTTATCTG